CGTCAGTTCCATTGAGGGTCTGGTTTGAATAATTTGGATTTAGTTTGATGTTTCTATTACAATCCATGAAAAATGTATTGAGGATAAGAGATATGTGGTCCTCTGTAGCTCAGCTAGTAGAGCACGGCGCTTGTAACGCCAAGGTAGTGGGTTCGATCCCCGGGACCACCCATACACAAAAATGTATGCACGCATGACTGTAAGTCGCTTTGGATAAAAACGTCTGCTAAATGGCATATTATATTATTTAAATGCAATTTTATATAACCTGATTATTTCTATCAAATCAACATGACTTTTGATGCAAATCAAAGGTTGTAAAAGTAGGCCAGATGTTTTTAGAACAATTTGCACTCGTGTTGATGTTTCTATGACAATCAATGAAAATGTAATTGCGAACGAGATTTGAATGCATTTTTATATGATTTGATTATTTCTATCAAATCAACACTTTACTTTATCTGTCCGGTCCCTAACAAAAACATTAGCTCGTGAACGATCCTTCATAGTAATCAGAGAGGAATGGAAATTGTTGTCAACCTTTAAATAGGCTAACGGCGAATTTCTGTTGAATGTCTGATAGAAAACCTACTTTTCCTTGGTGGAAGACCATGCAGTTTATTAGGCTACATATGAAATACCTTTATGAACTTCACACGGTGGTGAATGAGCAAGGTGATGAGCTTGATGCTCCTTTCCAATAAATATTGAGGGTCTTATTCTGGTGACATGATGATCAATGCTTGGCTGCCATTTGACAAATATAAATAATATCGCTCTTATCCATAATAATCTCAATGTACTGTAGGTAGCCTACCCAACCCGCATCTTCCAGCTGTTGGCTAGAGCGCATGTGCCAAGACCAGAGTGGGCACATTTGCTATACAATACAACAGTTTTTGTGACAACCATCAGTAGAGTTGGAAATGCGATGGGAACCCATTGAACTTCATTCGGTACATGGGAATTTAATGGTAAAAGTTATTTTTATGTGCACTACGTCATCACACACAGCCTTTTATCCACAAATAGTCAGTTTGATGGAAACACATCTCTGGTGGGAAAATGCGCACATTGTTTCATGCAGATTTGTGAATATTCGCATGATAATCTGTCACAAATTGGATGGAAACCTAGCTAATGAGGCAAGTTGGGGAGAAGTTCAATCAACTTAAAATGTGGAAAAAATTTGTTGATGTGGAAATTATTTTGAAATTGAAATATAGATGTTGTAAAAAATTAATTTTGTTAAGACAAGTATATTAATGTTGTACGTAAAGTCCCTTTCGACACCTTTTTAGTTTGTCATGATCCAATTAATGGACTGGTCAAATCTGTCTTGACTAACCACGGACCATACAAACATGTACAACAATCTGAGGGCGGTAGGTAGCCTAACGGTTAGAACGTTGAGCTAGTCGCTAGTTCAAATCCCAGAGCCATCAAGCTGAAAAATGTGACCTTGAGCAAGGCACTTAACCCTAATTGCTCCAGGTACGCCGTTGTTAATGGCTGACCCTGGCTGGGACCCCACTCTTCGAGCGTGTCTCAGGGGGTCTTGGGGTATGCAAAATACACATTTCCATTTCACACACTTGTACAAATATAAGCACCCACCAAATTTTTCAGGCATCGTATTTCAGTCTCTGTTGTATGTTTTAATTGTACACTAGTCCCTGACAATTAAATGTAATAACATTAGTGAAATATAATTTGCAGAAAGGCACATTGGGAAATGTGCATTTTCAGACAACAGTATTGTTAAGTGCGGCCCCAGCAAACTCAACTTTTTTCTATTTGAGTTGCAAAGGTTCACACAACAATTTGTTATTTTAAATTCTTTTAGCAAAATTATGTGGGTTAGTGGAGCATTCCATGTCAGCCAACTTGGACATTTAAGCTCTTTGGACTTTTTCAAAGTTGCATTTTTTACAGTGTAGCTAGCACATTATACTGTAGTATATATAAAGGTTGAAGCGTTAATTCACACTGTAGTTGAAGATATTTTATTTTCCAATGCCGCTAGATCTCGAAATGCATCTATGTATCTTTTCCCAGCATCTACATATGTTTCATTATATACTGAACAAAAATATAAACGCAACATGCAACAATTTCAAAGATTTTACTGAGTTACAGTTCATATGAGGAAATCAGTCAATTGAAATAAATTCATTAGGGTCTAATCTATGGATTTCACATGACTGGGAATACAGATATTCACCTGTTGGTCACAGATACCTTAAAAGAAATGGGCCTCACAATGAGCCTCAGGATCTCATCACGGTATTTCTGTGCATTCAAAATGCAATTGTGTTCACTGTTCGTAGCTTATGCTTGCCCATACCATAACCCCACCGCCACCATGGGGCACTCTGTCCACAACGTTGACATAAGCAAACCGCACGCCCACACGGCGTCATACACGTGGTCTGCGGTTGTGAGGCTGGTTGGACGTATTGCCAGATTCACTAAAACGGCGTTGGAGGCGGCTTATGGTAGAGAAATTAACATTACATTCTCTGGCAACAGCTCTGGTGGACATTCCTGCAGTCAGCATGTCAATTGCACACTCCCTCAAAACTTGAGACATCTGTGGCATTGTGTTGTGTGACAAAACTGCACATTTTAGAGTGGCCTTTTATTGTCCCCAGCACAAGGTGCAGCTGTTTAATGATCATGCTGTTCAATCAGCTTCTTGATATGCCACACCTGTCAGGTGGATGGATTATCTTTGCAAAGGAGAAATGCTCACTAACAGGGATGTAAACAAATTTGTGGCCAAAATTTGAGAGAAATAAGCTTCTTGTGCATATGGAACATTTCTGGGATCTTTTATTTCAGCTCATGAAACATGGGACCAACACTTTACATGTTGCGTTTATATTTGTGTTCAGGGTAGTTACAAAGCAGCACCTTGTGGTACAAAGAAACCATAAAACAACATCTGTAAACATTCTATTGACGTTACTAAGCGTTAACACTGCAGATGTATGGGGGGGAAGGCTAGGGGTGAAAAAAACACCCCTAGCCTTGGTCTAAAAATAACAAAAACAGCAGATGGAATGTTATTGTGAAAGCTTTATTTTTTTTTTGCCTTACTTTCCCAATGTTGTGGCAACATTAGGAGAATGTTCTGTGCTGGTTGGGAAATGGTGGAATGTGGTGGATGTATGGATAGGCAGTGCTACAAGGCATACACCAGAAGCACATTCATTCAGTTGGTTTAACAAATCATCTGAACACAAATGCAAAGTCAATATACATTATTCGGATCATTCTTACTGTAGTATTTATGTTGAAAATGTATCGGCAACCCTACCATATTGGCAATGTTAGCAACCATTTCGTGCAATACTGGGTAGCAGCGTTTTGTAACGTAGGGGCGGCTAACGTGTGGGCAGTGTTACCGAGGTGAGCAGTGGTTTGTTATTAACAGGAGTCACATTAATGGTTAATTGTCACTGTAGAAGGTTGACTGGGGTTGTCTGAGCAGGATGGTATAGAATTAGCTTATGAGGGCAGAATGATGAGATAGAGTGTGTGAGTGTCTGAGTTAGTGTGCAGAGTTATCAGTTAATAAAATATACACTTTCTCCAAAAGATAATGTCACATCAAGAAGATAACAGGTAGATAGTCTGATGCTATGACACTTGACACGTAACAGGCAGGGTAGGGGAGAAAGGCTGGCAGGCAGGGAGCAGAAGTGCAAACAACAAGGGGTTTGACTGTCATTCTACTTATTTTTCCAATATTATGACATCAATGATTCTAAATCTATAAAGCCTCCTTGGAAGTGTAAATTAAGTTATTATGCATCTCAGTAAAAATGCAACCTAAAAATATTAAAAATAAAGCATTATTTGGTTCTCGTAGAGTAGGTAAATAAGTGCACAGTCCTAGATATCCTTTCTTCATTTGATTAGATCAGGGTTGCCATTTTGGATGCAGACCAGGGCTTTTTATTTACCAAAACATTTTTTCTTCCTCCTGGAAGGAAATACAACAATCCAGTTTCGTTGTTCACCCATAAGGGGGCATTAGATGCCCACGAAATCCTCAGCCAATCCAGAACAACTGTTCTCAGTTCTCATTGGTCCATGGTGTGCTGGATGGTTGGCTCATTCATGAGCGAGAAGACTGCTAGTCTAGCTAGTCTGTGTGTGTGTGTGTGTGTGTGTGTCACCGCACAACCTCTGTGACCCAATGTATCTGGAGGTCCATGTTTGATGCAGTAATTTCTAGGTCGTCCTTAGTTGTCACGCATCATGGCATGAACTCCAGTCACTTCCTGCAATTAACCTTCACATGTTGCTCAGGGATTTATCTCCATCTGGTCTATGGTCGACTATATAGCATATCCAAGAGATGCCACTCTTCTTCTCAGAGCTTCATGCGGTCTCCTCAGTTTCTCTTCAAGTCCATTTTCAACTAGTCCATGTAGGGTACAGTAGGTTCGGTGTGTGGTAGTGCAGCTGAAGGCAGGCATGCAGAGACAATCTTCAGTAATGAGAGAGGAGCTGCTCTCTTCTCTCTGTCCCTCAGCCCTCAGTCACAACCTGAGAGACAGAGACAGGACAACAGCGCCTCACAGTGGAGTGACTACGCTTATAGTTTATCTACACATAGGGGAAGAGGAATATCGCCATAGGAACTGTGTGTTTGTGGGTTTTTTGCAGACAGTCCATTGTATGATGTATGTGTGTGATTCCTTGCATGTGCTGTCACAAGAAATTCTGTGCACCTGTGCGTGTTTGAGCGAGTAAAGAGTATTTACATTAGTTGCAAGATTCCATTTAGCTATGGCAGTGTCAGACATGTGTACATGTCTGTCAATGTCCATCAGTCCATGATTTAGAGATTGTCTGAAGGGATTGCACATGATCAATTCGTCAGTTATATTGTTATACATGCTGAGCTTGCGTGTGAATATGATTGTGTTTTCTGTATTTACGACCTGTTGTGTGTTTCTGACTGTAATATGATCTCTCTTATTATCTCAGTCAGTCCTTGCTGGTACACTTTCAGCTCCCCGGGTGCAGTTGAGAGTGCTGAGCCCAGGCAGGGTTACCCGTCCGCGGGTGTAGATGTCCCTGTCGAGCCCCTGGTTCATCCTCTTGACCAGGTTCTTCTCGTAGAGCAGGGGGTGGTAGGCCCCCAAAGTGCAGGCTGCGTCGTAGAAGCGTTGGTAGTAGTGACACAGTTCCGTCTTCCTCTGAGATGGCAGGAACTCGTACAAGTGTACTACCTCACACAGGGACATCATCAAAACCGTACCTGGAGGGAGGGGAGAGGGAGGGGGTGTAGTAGAGAAAGAAGGGGGGGGGGGGGTTCAGTTGAAAGTAAACTGGGGATAATCCGGCTCGAAGGACCATAAAGAAAAAATATCCAGGTTGGATTGTATGATTTTTTAAAAATGCAAATCAATTTATAACATTTCTGACATGCGTTTTTCTGGATTTTTTTGTTGTTATTCTGTCTCTCACTGTTCAAATAAACCTACCATTAAAATTATAGATTGATCATGTCTTTGTCAGTGGGCAAACGTACAAAATCAGCAGGGGATCAAATACTTTTTTCCCTCACTGTATATAGTACCAGTCAAAAGTTTGGACACGCCTACTCATTCCAGGGTTTCTTTATTTTTACTAATTTCTACATAATAATAGTGAAGACATCAAAACTATGAAATAACACATACGGAATCATGTAGTAACCAAAAAAGTGTTAAACAAATCAAAATATATTTTATATTTGAGATTCTAAGGAAGTCAATTTATAACATTTTTGACATGCGTTTTTCTGGATTTTGTTGTTGTTATTCTGTCTCTCATTGTTCAAATAAACCTACCATTAAAATTATAGACTGATAATTTCTTTGTCAGTGGGCAAACGTACAAAATCAGCAGGGGATCAAATACTTTTTTCCCTCACATACCCCTACCAGAAGCCATGGAATACAGGCAACATCCGCACTGAGGTAAAGGGTAGAGCTGCCGCTTTCAAGAAGCGGGACTCTAACCCGGATGCTTATAAGAAATCCCGCTATGCCTTCCTACGAACCATCAAACAGGCAAAGCGTCAATACAGGACTAAGATCGAATCGTACTACACCGGCTCCGACGCTCGTCAGATGTGGCAGGGCTTGCAAACTATTACAGACTCCAAAGGGAAGCACAGCCACGAGCTGCCCAGTGACACGAGCCTACCAGGTGAGCTAAATTACTTCTATGCTCGCTTCGAGGCAAGTAACACTGAAACATGCATGAGAGCATCAGCTGTTCTGGACGACTGTGTGATCGCGCTCTCCATAGCCGATGTGAATAAGACCTTTAAACAGGTCAACATTCACAAGGCCGCAGGGCCAGATGGATTATCAGGACGTGTACGCCGAGCACGCGCTGACCAACTGGCAAGTGACTTCACTGACATTTTCAACCTCTCCCTGGCTGAGTCTGTAATACCAACATGTCTCAAGCAGACCACCATAGTCCCTGTGCCCAAGAACACTAAGGTAACGTGCCTAAATGACTATTGACCCGTAGCACTCACGTCTGTAGCCATGAAGTGCTTTGAAAGGCTGGTCATGGCTCACATCAACACCATTATCCCAGAAAACCTAGACCCACTCCAATTTGCATACCGCCCCAACAGATCTACAGATGATGCAATCTCTATTGCGCTCCACACTGCCCTTTCACACCTGGACAAAAGGAACACCTATGTGAGAATGCTATTCATTGACTACAGCTCAGCATTCAACACCATCGTGCCCTCAAAGCTCATCACTAAGCTAAGAACCCTGGGACTAAACACCTCCCTCTGCAACTGGATCCTGGAATTCCTGATGGGCCGCCCCCAGGTGGTAAGGGTAGGTAACAAAACGTCCGCCACACTGATCCTCAACACGGGGGCCCCTCAGGGGTGCGTGCTCAGTCCCCTCCTGTACTCCCTGTTCACTCATGACTGCATGGCCAGGCACGACTCCAACACCATCATTAAGTTTGCTGACGACATAACAGTGGTAGGCCTGATCACCGACAATGACGAGACAGCCTATAGGGAGGAGATCAGAGACCTGGCCGTGTGGTGCCAGGACAACAACCTCTCCCTCAACGTGACCAAGACAAAGGAGATATTTGTTAACTACAGGAAAAAGAAGAGGACCGAGCACGCCCCCATTCTTATCGACGGGGCTGTAGTGGAGCATGTTGAGAAAGTCCTGTTCCTTGGTGTCCACATCACCACCAAACTAACATGGTCCAAGCACACCAAGACAGTCGTGAAGAGGGCACGACAAAACCTATTCCCCCTAAGGAGACTGAAAAGATTTGGCATGGGTCCTCAGATCCTCAAAAGGTTCTACAGCTGCACCATCGAGAGCATCCTGATTGGTTGCATCACTGCCTGGTATGGCAACTGCTTGGACTCCGACCGCAAGGTACTACAGAGGGTAGTGCGTACGGCCCAGTCCATCACTAGGGCCAAGCTTCCTGCCATCCAGGACCTCTATACCAGGCGGTGTCAGACGAAGGCCCTAAAAATTGTCAAAGACTCCAGCCACCGTAGTCATAGACTGTTCTCTCTGCTACCGCACGGCAAGCGGTACTGGAGTGCCAAGTCTAGGTCCAAGAGGCTTCTAAAGAGCTTCTACCCACAAACCGTAAGACTCCTGAACATCTAATCAAATGGCTACCCAAACAATTTGCATAGTTCCCCCCCCCCCCCCCCCCCCCCTTACGCTGCTGCTACTCTCTGTTTACTATGTATGCATAGTCACTTTAATAACTCCACCTACAGTTGAAGGCGGAAGTTTACATACACTTAGGTTGGAGTCATTAAAACTAGTTTTTCAACCACTCCACACATTTCTTGCTAACAAACTATCGTTTTGGCAAGTCGGTTAGGACATCTACTTTGTGCATGACACAAGTAATTTTTCCAACAATTGTTTACAGACATATTATTTCACTTATAATTCACTGTATCACAATTCCAGTGAGTCAGAAGTTTACATATACTAAGTTGACTGTGCCTTTAAAATTCCAGAAAATGATGTCATGGCTTTAGAAGCTTCTGATAGGCTAATTGACATCATTTGAGTCAATTGGAGGTGTAACTGTGGATGTATTTCAAGGCCTACCTTCAAACTCAGTGCCTCTTTGCTTGACATCATGGGAAAATCAAAAGAAATCAGCCAAGACCTCAGAAAAAATATGGTAGACCTCCACAAGTTTGGTTTATCCTTGGGAGCAATTTCCAAATGCCTGAAGGTACCACGTTCATCTGTACAAACAATAGTACGCAAGTATAAACACCATGGGACCACGCAGCCGTCATACCGCTCAGGAAGGAGAGATTAACGTACTTTGGTGCGAAAAGTGCATATCAATCCCAGAACAACAGCAAAGGACCTTGTGAAGATGCTGGAGGAAACAGGTACAAAAGTATCTATATCCACAGTAAAACAAGTCCTATATCAACATAACCTGAAAGGCCGCTCAGCAAGGAAGAAGCCACTGCTCCAAAACCGCCATAAAAAAGCCAGACTACGGTTTGCAACTGCACATGGGGACAAAGATCGTACTTTTTGGAGAAATGTCCTCTGGTCTGATGAAACAAAAATAGAACTGTTTGGCCATAATGACCATCGTTATGTTTGGAGGAAAAAGGGGGCTGCTTGCAAGCTGAAGAACACCATCGCAACCGTGAAGCACGGGGGTGGCAGCATCATGCTGTGGGGGTGCTTTGCTGCATGAGGGACTGGTGCACTTCACAAAATAGATGGCATCATGAAGAAGGAAAATTATGTGGATATATTGAAGCAACATCTCAAGACATCAGTCAGGAAGTTAAAGCTTGGTCACAAATGGGTCTTCCAAATGGCCAATGACCCCAAGCATACTTCCAAAGTTGCGGTCTCCTAGACTTGAGTCAAGGTATTGGAGTGGCCATCACAAAGCCCTGACCTCAATCCTATAGAAAATTTGTGGGCAGAACTGAAAAAGCGTGTGCGAGCAAGGAGGCCTACAAACCTGACTCAGTTACACCAGCTCTGTCAGGAGGAATGGGCCAAAATTCACCCAATTTATTGTGGGAAGCTTGTGGAAGGCTACCCGAAACATTTGACATAACATTTGATTTGATTTGATTTGGTAGCCATGCTGGTTAAGTGTGCTTTGAATTCTAAATAAATCACAGACAGTGTCAACAGCAAAGCACCCCCACATCATAACACCTCCTCTCCATGCTTTTCGGTGGGAACTACACATGCAGAGATAATCCGTTCACCCACACAGCGTCTCACAAAGACACGGCGGTTGGAACCAAAAATCTCCAATTTGGACTCCAGACCAAAGGACACATTTCCACCGGTCTAATGTCCATTGCTTGTGTTTCTTGGACCAAGCAGGTCTCTTCTTCTTATTGGTGTCCTTTAGTAGTGGTTTCTTTGCAGCAATTCTACCATGAAGACCTGATTCATACAGTCCCCTCTGAACAGTTGATATTGAGATGTGTCTGTTACTTGAACTCTGTGAAGCATTTATTTGGGCTTCAATTTGTGAGGCTGGTAACTCTAATGAACGTATCCTCTGCAGCAGAGTTAACTCTGGGTCTTCCATTCCTGTGGCGGTCCTCATGAGAGCCAGTTTCATCATAGCGCTTGATGGTTTTTGTGACTGCACTTGAAGAAACTTTCAAAGTTCTTGAAATGTTCAGTATTGACTGACCTTCATGTCTTAAAGTAATAATAATAAATAATAATATGCCATTTAGTAGACGCTTTTATCCAAAGCGACTTACAGGATGGACTGTCGTTTCTCTTTGCTTATGTGAGCTGTTCTTGCCATAATATGGACTTTGTCTTTTACCAAATAGGGCTATCTTCTGTAGTCCCCCCTACCTTTTCACAACACAACTGATTGGCTCAAACACATTAAGAAGGAAATAAATTCCACAAATTAACTTTTAAGAAGGTACACCTGTTAATTGAAATGCATTCCATGTGACTACCTCATGAAGCTGGTTGAGAGAATGCCAAGAGTGTGCAAAGCTGTCATCAAGGCAAAGGGTGGCTATTTGAAGAATCTCAAATATAAAATATATTTTGATTTGTTTAACACTTTTTTGGTTACTACATGATTTCATTTTTGTTATTTTATCGTTTTGATATCTTCACTATTATTCTACAATGTAAAAAATAGTAAACATAAAGAAACACCCTGGAATGAGTAGGTATGTCCAAACTTTTGACTGGTAGTGTATATATTTTTCTCTCTGCATTGTTTGGAAGGGCCCATAAGTAAGCATTTCATTGTTAGTCTATACCTGTTGTTTACGAAGCATGTGACAAATAACATTTGATTTGACAGACTATTGAGATCCACCCCTGATCTGCCTTGATCTCTATATGGTAACCAGAAGGTTAGTAGAATTCACTGTATAGTTTACCTAGCAGTCCAGAGGAGGGCGGGTTCTTCTGGATGGGCTCGGCCATGTTGTCCTGGATTCGCTGCCATAGCTGCCACTCAAAGCAGGGGTGCAGGATGTAGAAGGGCTGGAGGGGGTGGAGCCTCCTGTACCGCTGGTACTGGGCGAAGATGGGGTAGTCAGTCTTGTTGTACCACTGAAAAAGGGCAATGGGTGGGGGCGGGGGGGGTGGTAAGGGAGAGAGGGAAGGAGAGGAGAAAGTGACAGGGAGCAAGTTGAGAAGAGAAGAAGAGGTTTTTGTGTTGGTACTTTCTGTCCATGTTGTTTAAGTTCAATATTCAACAACATCTACCACTCCCTGGTTAGGATTTGGCACCCTCACTGCCGCGGCCCGGGTTCGATTCCCAGTCAGGGAACTACTCTTTTAAGCATTATTTTATACTGTGTACACACTACGCTGTATCCTGTGCACATGACAAGTAAACTTTGATTTTATATTCATATTACTTTTTCACACACATAAGGACACACATTTATTTCTTTGGATATGAAAAGTGGTAGGAACATTGTAAACAAAACGGTGGACTCGTTTATTTAACCTTTATTTAAGCAGGGAGTCATGCTGAGTCCACGGTCTCTTTCATAGATGAGCCCTGCATGATATGGAGGACCAAAGCTGCTGCAATTAGAATGAAAGGAATAAATAGATAAATGCACATAAGTAGATAAAAACATGAATAAGTAACTAAATCCACACATAGATATATACATATTTTTAAATAACACATAAATAGATAAATAATTATTGAAATAATTAATCCCACTTTCTTTAATTTGATTCATTTATATTATTTCTTCATTTATTTATTTATTTATTTCTGTATTTCTTCCTCCAATATGATTATGTGGGGGTGTCAAGCAAACATATGCGGGTGTTATCTAACACACCATTGGTTGATCAATACCCCGACGCGATGATCGATTGCATTTGCCTGGGCTGCATTCAGTATGACAGAAGGTGTTCAAAGTTTAAAGGCCATGTTTCACATTAGCACCCCACAAACAATAATGTGTAGCACATATAGCTATGTATAAATATGATATGTCACTTTCTGGAGGGAAATTGGAGATACAATCTATTATATGCTGCTGTGCTGCACGTGCATCATAAAAATACACAAAAATAACAAATTGAACACTGAGCCATTAGGTGCAGCTTTGGAACACTGAGCCATTGACTGCACCAGGTGGGTGTGTTACGAGTGGGTTGCTTTTGACAATAAGGCACCGGACTACAACCATATAGTTTTGAACCTAGAAGAAGACCAAGAGACGAGAATAGGCAAGAAGGAGTCGACTGGGATTGGCGAGACGAATGTCCTGAAAAGCATGGTAAGCTAACATTACTGAGTATCAAGCTAGCTAGCTTGGCCACAACTGATAAAGTGGAGTTATCTAGCTAGCTGCGTTTTACAGCCAGACTCAGTTTTACACTTAGCTAGCTAATGAACTAAACTGCAATTATCATAAACCATTATTTTCTAGGTAGCGGGGAGGGGTTGGGTTGTGGGTTCAAATTGCACTGCTGCCCTTTAAATACTTCACTCATTGCTTCAAGCGCCACCACGGCACACCCACCAAACGGAGCAAATGTATCTCAGTCTGTTCAAGAACGTACAAGAATGTTTTGGGGAAAACGCATCCCTGGTGTGGTGCCTAGTTGAAACTAAATCCTGCAGTACCTGCGGCACTCCAGGAACAGGGTTGTCTACCCCTGCTCTAGGGTCCTGTGGTGAAAGGACTGCTGTGCAAGGTATTGGGCAACAGCTTTCTTCCAGGGCCCATATTCACAAAGTGTCTCAGAGTAGGGATAGTGATCTAGGATAACCTCCCCCTTGTCAATGTAATTGTACTCGGTGTGAAGGCAAAACTGATCCTAAAATCACTACTACTCTGGCCTGTCAGCAATGCCACTCCACCTGAAATGCAACCAAAACATGAATAAGATTGATCTTAGTCAGTCAGTTAATTGAGTTAATGAAACACTCATGTAAATGTGCACAAGCCCCCTAATCAGCCAAATTATATGAAAACAACACAGCCTATTTGCAGTAAAACAAGGACAGACATTTTTCATGCCAACTTTCAGTCACAAAAGCATAAATAAACAGGCAAGGGAACAAAGTAGTTTGACAAAAACTGCTCAAATCGTCAGTAACTAGCTACCAATATAATTACCAATTATCTAGCTAGTTTTTCTATTCTAGAAACCTAGCTAGAGTCGACTTAGCTAGCTAGCTAAAGTTAACTGTTGGTGGGAGTAAGCTAACGTTAGCTAGCTTTCCCCCAGCAGTTTCAAGATAGCAGGCTAGTTAATGGCATTTTTATCAACTTTATCAAATCAGATGAATAGCTATCAAATATATTCGTTCACCTACAGTGGGGAAAAAAAGTATTTAGTCAGCCACCAATTGTGCAAGTTCTCCCACTTAAAAAGATGAGAGAGGCCTGTCATTTTCATCATAGGTACACGTCAACTATGACAGACAAATTGAGAAAAATAAATCCAGAAAATCACATTGTAGGATTTTTTATGAATTTATTTGCAAATTATGGTGGAAAATAAGTATTTGGTCAATAACAAAAGTTACTCAATACTTTGTTATATACCCTTTGTTGGCAATGACACAGGTCAAACGTTTTCTGTAAGTCTTCACAAGGTTTTCACACACTGTTGCTGGTATTTTGGCCCATTCCTCCATGCAGATCTCCTCTAGAGCAGTGATGTTTTGGGGCTGTCGCTGGGCAACACGGACTTTCAACTCCCTCCAAAGATTTTCTATGGGGTTGAGATCTGGAGACTGGCTAGGCCACTCCAGGACCTTGAAATGCTTCTTACGAAGCCACTCCTTTGTTGCCCGGGCGGTGTGTTTGGGATCATTGTCATGCTGAAAGACCCAGCCACGTTTCATCTTCAATGCCCTTGCTGATGGAAGGAGGTTTTCACTCAAAATCTCACGATACATGGCCCCATTCATTCTTTCCTTTACACGGATCAGTCGTCCTGGTCCCTTTGCAGAAAAACAGCCCCAAAGCATGATAAAATTAAAAAAAAAAAAAATTTAGTCATTTAGCAGACGCTCTTATCCAGAGCGACATGTTTCCACCCCCATGCTTCACAGTAGGTATGGTGTTATTTGGATGCAACTCAGCATTCTTTGTCCTCCAAACACGACAAGTTGAGTTTTTACCAAAAAGTTATATTTTGGTTTCATCTGACCATATGACATTCTCCCAATCCTCTTCTGGATCATCCAAATGCACTCTAGCAAACTTCAGACGGGCCTGGACATGTACTGGCTTAAGCAGGGGGACACGTCTGGCACTGCAGGATTTAAGTCCCCGGCGGCGTAGTGTGTTACTGATGGTAGGCTTTGTTACTTTGGTCCCAGCTCTCTGCAGGTCATTCACTAGGTCCCCCCGTGTGGTTCTGGGATTTTTGCTCACCGTTCTTGTGATCAGTTTGACCCCACGGGGTGTGATCTTGCGTGGAGCCCCAGATCGAGGGAGATTATCAGTGGTCTTGTATGTCTTCCATTTCATAATAATTGCTCCCACAGTTGATTTATTCAAACCAAGCTGCTTACCTATTGCAGATTCAGTCTTCCCAGCCTGGTGCAGGTCTACAATTTTGTTTCTGGTTCCTTTGACAGCTCTTTGGTCTTGGCCATAGTGGAGTTTGGAGTGTGACTGTTTGAGGTTGTGGACAGGTGTCTTTTATACTGATAACAAGTTCAAACAGGTGCCATTAATACAGGTAACGAGTGGAGGACAGGGGAGCCTCTTAAAGAATAAGTTACAGGTCTGTGAGAGCCAGAAATCTTGCTTGTTTGTAGGTGACCAAATACTTATTTTCCACCATAATTTGCAAATAAATTCATAAAAAATCCTACAATGTGATTTTCTGGATTCTTTTTTCTCAATTTGTCTGTCATAGTTGACGTGTACCTATGATGAAAATTGCAGGCCTCTCTCATCTTTTTAAGTGGGAGAACTTGCACAATTGTTGGCTGACTAAATACTTTTTTTCCCCACTGTATGTGTCCCTTCTTCTTCGATGAGGTTTAATGGAGGTTGGCATCAAATAAATGTTGCATTACTGCCACCTACTAGACTGGAGTATACCTCCCTTATACTTTGCTTTAAAAAACAAAAAACAAAAAACAAAAAAATCTACAAATACCCTACAATCTAACCCTACACTCACTAAAAACCCACCACCCACTCCACTAATTAAATCTATCTAGTCCTACCTCAGGCCAAGAGCCTGAAAGGACGGGCACCACCACTCAACACACCCTGTAACTCTTCTGACGTCAAGTCTCGTACACACACATTCCTCTCTGCAGCTGCCACCACAAACTCAATTTTCTGCGACTTACGTTCCATCCCTGCAATACAGTTGATAACCATTGTTATAAACGCTAAAAATCTAATCTTACTGAAGCATTTATAACTTGTTGGCCTATCCCTCTGTACTGGTACAGAGCTACTACTCACATCACTCCTCTCATGATCCCTCCCCCTTGCCCCATCTTCCTCTACTTTCTTCACTGCCTCAGCATACAATAACTTCTGCACTACTCTAACCCTGGAAACTTCAACATGCCTCTCTCGCACGGGACATTTCTGATCCCCAGCCCCATGAGCACCCCTACACTTAACACATACCACTACTCTCTCCAATGCTACAAATTCCTTTGCTTCATGCCCTTCTGCACACTTCTCACACCTAGGAACATCCCTCCTACACACTGCTGCCACATGCCCATAAGCTTGACACCTGTAACAACGTAATGTATTCGGTACAGGATAACTTATATACCCTAACATCACTTTGTCAGGCTTTCTTGAGAGCAAAACAATTCACATCTCTTGTCCCCATTCGTTTAACACGGAGCACCTGCTCCCTCTGACCAGCAGAAACACAAACAATTATCACCGGATCACTTCTGGTTACCCTCACTGATTCCACAGCACCCAACTCTGTTTTCACCCAACCTGAAACCACAAATGGATCAGCCAAAAGGTAAGGGTCCACTTTTTCCCGAAATGTCATTTCTACCATCAGACTCCTCTTCATCCTGACCCTCGGTGCGAGCCAAGGGCCCCGAAAACTTCACCACACCTACCACCTCCGATACTTCGCCTTCACTCGCTTCCATTTCTCCACCTGTCTTCAAATCGGCATACAGCTCACTCTGCTTACACGTTCTACCATTCTTCTTTAACAAACTCAATTTTTTCCCGCAATTTTTTACCGATTCAAGCTCACCCTCTTCCTCCCTCTATGCGACCTCCTCTGCCTCTCTTTTTCCCTCCATTCCTCCCCCGTCTCCTTATGATAATACTGTACTTCTCCTGACATACATCTTGTTCTTGCCCACTCAAGGGATGCCATTTTCCCCTGGGCTAATCCTTTCTCCTCAATAACTCTGCACGTGCACTGGCTATGTGTCCCTTGTAGCAGCTAGCTGACCCAAGCTTTTGATGCATGCCTCCACACGGAAAATCAGCTAATCTGGAGATGCGTCGTTTTCAGCAGCGGCCAGCACTGTATGTGAAGTTAACCACTCTAAAGATTAGCCACAATAGTGGAATTTGCGGTTAACCTTCAGAATAAAGGTCCTGCATTGAAACGGACACAAATAGTGGAATGATGCCATATTTGCACAAGATAATGCTTAACATGTTTGGAATGTTATATAAATTCAGCAAAATACAATTGATTAATTAATTTCAAAGGACAAATCAGTTTAAATCCAAATGTGGATGTATTAGACTTCATAATTGCATTGGGGGCATACGTATATTTTACTGTACAGCCACATTTGGATTTAAACTGATTTGTCCTATGGATTGTGGATAAATGAGATGGGGTATCAGCCTATTCAGTGACACCCACAGAACACAACTGTGAAGAGTTTACACACATTAGCGTCGTAGCTCTTATTGCAGGACTTTGTGGGAAATCACCTCCCCAGTCAGTCTGGTGTGCGTATTGGACATTCATAATGCAATGTACCGCCTTACCTATTGTAAAAAATGTCTAGCTGGAGCCGTCTGAGCGGTCGGCTGTGAATGCCCTCACCCACTAGTACTTAATGTGATTTAATTGGTTCTGACTCGCTACAGGCTGTCCGGCAAGAACAGTAAAGATTCTTCTTAGTCCAGGACTTTTATTATCTTCATCACTAACACACACTATAGTATTCACACTCACACACACAAATCTTCAGTTTACATAGGATGGACTTGTGGTTCTGAAGGGGAAGAACAAATATGCAATGTTTTAAGCTATGCAATAGTAATATCTACACAGGAATTAATGCCATAGCATCTATTCAGGGATATTCACATAACAGCATACACATTTACAGCAGTATACAGTATGTATAAACATCTCGCTGGCGAGAGAGAGAACAAATTACTTAGACAGGCGAGATTTACACGATATACTGTATACAAAGGTATGTGGACACCAATTCAAATGGGTCGATTCGGCTATTTCAGCCACACCCATTGCTGACAGGTGTGTAAAATCGAGCACACAGCCATGCAATCTCCATAGACAAACATTGGCAGTAGAATGGCCTTACTAAAGAGCTCAGTGACTTTCAGTGTGCCACCATCATAGGATGCCACCTTTCCAAAGTCAGTTTGTCAAATTTTGCCCTGCTAGAGCTGCCCCGGTCAACTGTAAGTGCTGTTTTTGTGCAGTGGAAATGTCTAGGAGCAACAACGGCTCAGCCGCAAAGTGGTAGGCCACACAAGCTCACAGAACAGGACAGGACCGCCGAGTGCTGTAGCGCATAAAAATCGTCTGTCCTCGGTTGCAACACTCACTACCGAGTTCCAAACTGCCTCTGGAAGCAATGTCAGCGCAATAACTGTTTGTCAGGAGCTTCATGAAATGGGTTTCCATGGCCGAGCAGCCGCACACAAGCCTAAGATCACCATGCGCAATGCCAAGCGTCTGATGGAGTGGTGTAAAGCTCGCTGCCATTGGACTCTGGAGCAGTGGAAACGCGTTCCCTGGAGTGATGAATCACGCTTCACCATCTGGCAGTCCGATGGACGAATCTGGGTTTGGCCGATGCCAGGAGAACGCTACCTGCCCCGATGCATAGTGCCAACTGTAAAGTTTGGTGTAGGAGGAATAATGGTCTGGGGCTGTTTTTCATGGTTTGGGCTAGGCCATTTAGTTCCAGTGAAGGAAAATCTTAACGCTAGAGCATACAATAACATTCTAGACGATTCTGTGCTTCCAACTTTGTGGCAACAGTTTGGGAAAGGCCCTTTCCTGTTTCAGCATGACGATGCCCCCGTGCACTAAGCGAGGTCCATACAGAAATGGTTTTTCAAGATCGGTGTGGAAGAACTTGACTGGCCTGCACAGAGCCCTGACCTCAACCCCATCGAACATCTTTGGGATGAATTGGAACGCCGACTGTGAGCCAGGCCTAATCGTCCAACATCAGTGACCGACCTAACTAATGCTCTTGTGGCTGAATGGAAGCAAGTCCCCGCAGCAATGTTCCAACATCTAGTGGAAAGCCTTTTACATTTACATTTTAGTAGACGCTCTTATCCAGAGCAACTTACAGTTAGTGCATACATTATTTTTTATACCCCCCGTGGGAAGCGAACCCACAACCCTGGTGTTGCAAACGCCATGCTCTACCAACTGAGCTACATCCCCGCCGGCCATTCCCTCCCCTACCCTGGACGACGCTGGGCAAATTGTGCGCCAACCCATGGGTCTCCCGGTCGCGGCCGGCTACGACAGAGCCTGGATTCGAACCAGGATCTCTAGTGGCACAGCTAGCACGGCGATGCAGTGCCTTAGACCACTGCGCCACTCGGCCTTCCCAGAAGAGTGGAGGCTGTTGTAGCTGCTAAGGGGGGACCAACTGCATATTCATGCCAATGATTTTGGAATGAGAAATTCGACGAGTAGGTGTCCACAAACTTTTGGTTATGTAGTGTATGTCCCTCTCTCTCAGGACTGGTGGAGAACTTATCTGATCTGTGTCTGGTGCCACAGAATTATAAATCTGACTGCATGCGGGAGCGCCCAGGACAGTCTATGAAACATCTAGAATCTCTCGCCATGGCTTAACAGTAGTGCGAACTATGAAAATGCAGCGTTAAAGTGTGCATACAGGCTATAGGAGTTAACCATCTCTAAAGAATAACATTACTTCAAAACACTGCTGCATCCAATGCAATACAGGCACTTATAAATGACATGCACATGGAGTATCTGAAATATACATAGACTGCAGCAGTACTATACAGCTACAGACTTACATTTTACATTTTAGTCCTTTAGCAGAAGCTCTTATCCATTTTTTTTCATACTGGCCCCCTGTGGGAATAGATGTAACAAGGTAATTGCTTGCAGTCAATCACCATAACGTAGCATGAACCCTCCCGACAATAACCCCCACAACTCACTTCTTGAATGCACACACAATCTTCCTAAAATAAACACACTGATAACTTGGTCGGCAGCCAAACGTCCGACGTCTTCTTCTTCGGGATTGGGTTGGCGGATCGCATCCAACTTTTAAGGTGCATAAACCGCCAGCTACTGTATTGGAGTGTGAGGCCAGTCACAGCCTACCTACATTAAATTCTCTTCATTAGTCCTGTTCCTCTAAGAAAGTTAAAGAACCCTAGACACCACTTCCCTCCCCTTTTCTCTCCCCACTACACCACCCAAACCCCAACCCCGTCCAGCCTCTGTAACCCTTTCACATAATCTCTCTCTATCTACATCACACAGTTCACAAAATATGCTCCACCGTTTCCTCTACTAAACACTCATCACACAGACAGCTTGCGTCTTCATCTGCCGACAACGACCTGGTGTGGGAGTGGTCAGAGTCCAAATGTGCATCCGGGCACTCTTATTGGTGGAAACCAGGAAGCTGTGATAGAGCGATTTCTCCCCTTCTCAGCTGTCTAACGGGACTGTGGGGAATGTCACGTGCACAGGCATGGCTTTTTTTTTCTTTGGATCCACGAAATGGGGTATCAGCCTACTTAGTGACACTCAGAGAACACAACTGTGAAGTGTTTACACATATTAGCGTCATAGCTCTTATTGCCGGACTTTGGCTGGGAAATCACCTCCCCAGTCAGTCTATTGTGCATATTGGACATTTATATTGCAATGTACAGCCTTACCTATGGAATGAGGCTGATACCTAATTTCATGAACCCAAGATCCATAGGTAAGGCTATACAGTGCGTTCGGAAAGTATTCAGACCCCTTGACTTCTTCCACATTTTGTTAAGTTGCAGCCTTATTCTAAAATGGATTGAATAAAATGTTTTTCCTCATCAATCTACCCACAATACCCCATAATGACAAAGCGAAAATAGGTTTAGACATTAATGAAACGTTTTTTTATATATTTTTTATCTGCAGCATTGAAGGTCCCCAAGAACACAGTGGCCTCCATCATTCTTAAACGGAAGAAGTTTGGAACCACCAAGACTCTTCCAAGAGCTGGCCGCCCGGCCAAACTGAGCAATCGGGGGAGAAGGGCCTTGGTCAGGGAGGTGACCAAGAACCCGATGGTCACTCTGACAGAGTTCCTCTGTGGAGATGGGAGAACCTTCCAGAAGGACAACCATCTCTGTAGCAAACAGGGCTTTATGGTAGAGTGGCCAGATGGAAGCCACTCCTCAGTAAAAGGCACATGACAGCCCGCTTGGAGTTTGCCAAAAGGCACCTAAAGGACCCTGGCCATGAGAAATAAGATTCTCTGGTCTGATGAAACAAAGATTGAACTCTTTGGCCTGAATGCCAAGCGTCACGCCTGGAGGAAACCTGGCACCATCCCTACGGTGAAGCATGGTTGTGGCAGCTTCATGCTGTTGGGATGTTTTTCAGCGGCAGGGACTGGGAGACTAGTCAGGATCGAGGGAAAGATGAAGGACCTCAGACTGCGGCGAAGGTTCACCTTCCAACAGGACAATGACCCTAAGCACACAGCAAAGACAACGCAGGAGTGGCTTCGGGACAAGTCTCTGAATGTCCTTGACTGGCCCAGCCAGAGCCTGGACTTGAACCCGATCGAACATCTCTGGAGAGACCTGAAAATAGCGGTGCAGTGACACTCCCCATCCAACCTGACAGCTTGAGAGGATCTGCAGAGAAGAATGGGAGAAACTCCCCAAATACAGGTGTGCCAAGCTTGTAGTGTCATACCCAAGAATACTCAAGGCTGTAATCGCTGCCAAAGGTGCTTCAACACAGTACTGAGTACAGAGTCTGAAATGTGATATTTCCGTTTCTTTATTTGTAATACATTTGCAAGAAATTCTAAAAACCTGTTTTTGCTTTGTCATTATGGGGTATCACTAAGCTAAGGATCCTGGGACTAAATACCTTCCTCTGCAACTGGATCCTGGACTTCCTGATGGGCCGCCCCCAGGTGGTAAGGGTAGGTAACAACACATCTGCCACACTGATCCTCAACACGGGGGCCCCTCAGGGGTGTGTGCTCAGTCCCCTCCTGTACTCCCTGTTCACCCATGACTGCATGGCCAGGCACGACTCCAACACCATCATTAAGTTTGCAGACGACGCAACAGTGGTAGGCCTGATCACCGACAATGATGAGACAGCCTATAGGGAGGAGGTCAGAGACCTGGCCGTGTGGTGCCAGGATAACAACCTCTCCCTCAACGTGACCAAGGGAAAGGAGATGATTGTGGACTACAGGAAAAAAAAGAGGACTGAGCACGCCCCCATTCTCATCGACGGGGCTGTAGTGGAACAGGTTGAGAGCTTCAAGTTCCTTGGTGTCCACATCACCAACGAACTATCATGGTCCAAACACACCAAGACAGTCGTGAAGAGGGCACGACAAAGCCTATTCCCCCTCAGGAGACTGAAAAGATTTGGCATGGGTCCTCAGATCCTCAAAAAATTATACAGCTGCACCATCGAGAGCATCCTGACTGGTTGCATCACCGCCTGGTATGGCAACTGCTCGGCCTCCGACCGCAATGCACTACAGAGGGTAGTGCGTACGTTCCAGTACATCACTGGGGCCAAGCTTCCTGCCATCCAGGACCTCAATACCAGGCGGTGTCAGAGGAAGGCCCTCAATTTTTAAAAAACATTTTTATAAAAAATAAATGCATTGTTGGTTAAGGGCTGTAAGCATTTCACTGTAATGTCTACACCTGTTGTATTCGGCACATGTGGCCAATAAAATTTGATTTGATTGTGTGTAGATTGATGAGGTGAAAAAACAATTTAATCCATTTTAGAATAAGGCTGTAACGTAACAAAATGTGGAAAAAGTCAACGGGTCTGAATACTTTCCAAATGCACTATACATTGCAATATGAATGTCCAATACGCACAATAGACTGACTGGTGAGTTGATTTCCCACAGTCAAAGTCCTGCAATATGAGCTACACACTAATATTTGTGTGAACTCTTCAGTTACGAACAGTTCATGGATCCAAGATCCATAGGCAAGGCTGTACAATGCATACAGTATGCCCCCAATGCAAGTCTTACTTTTTGGCCAAAATATCTCATTATTTGCTTTTGGTGAATTTATATAACAACAATCCAAACGTTTTAAGCATTATCTAGTTCAAATATGGCATGATTCCACTATTTGAATCTGTTTGCCGCAGTTTCAATGCGGGACTTTTATTTTGAAGGCGAACCGCAAATTCTACTATTGTGGCAAATCGTTTTTGTGGCTAGCTTCACATAGGTGGTGCAAAATCAGGCGAAAGCAGTTGAGCAACATGCCGTGACATTGATTAACCAATGGTGTGTTAGATACCACCCACAGCCTTTTGATTGACACACCCTTCATTATCATTGTGGAGGAAGTAATACAGAAATTATAAATATATAAATGAATAAAATGAATTAGTTAGAATAATTCAAATCAAACTTTATTTGTCACACGCACAGTGAAATGCTTACTTACAAGCCCTTAACGAACATTGAAGTTCAAGAAAGAGATAAGAAAATATTTACCAAATAAACTAAAGTAAAAAATTATAAAAAAGTAACATAATAAAATAACAATAACGAGGCTATATACAGGGGGTACAGGTTAGTGTGTGGGGGTACAGGTTATTCAAGGTAATTTGTACATGTAGGTAGGGGTAAAGTGACTATGCATAGATAATAGACAGCGGGTAGCAGCAGTGTAAAAACAAATGGATGGTGAAGGGGGGAGTGTCAATGTAAATAGTCCGGGTGGCCATTTTATGAATTGTTCAGCAGTCTTATGGTGAAGGGGGTAGAAGCTGAATAATTAGATAATACATTGATTCATAATTAAATACAGATATGTACAGAAAATGAATACATTGTCAGTATTTGTGTATTTTCTTGCTCATTTATTTAATCATATATTTAGTTATATTTATATGTGCATTTATTTATTATTAATATTTATTAATTTAATTCTAATTATGGCAGGTTTGGTCCTCCATAGTATGAACCCATCCATAAACAATTACACATTATTACATATCAGTGGAGGCTGCTGAGGGGAGGACTGCTCATAATTATGGCTGGAACAGAGAGTATGGAATGGCATCAAACACATGATGTATTTGATACCATTCCACTCATACTGCTCCAGCCATTACCACGAGCCCGTCCTCCCCAATTAAGGTGCCACCAACCTCCTGTGATACATATCTATATACACAATACATGAAAAGCAAACAAAACACGAACAGCTAAACACAATCATATGAAACAAACACATTCTTCAGTAAAAAGGCCCTCTAACATGAATTGCCCTAGAGGCACCAACTCCACCAACTTCAAGGAGTTTTTGAAATCATGCCACATGAGGAGCAAAAAAACTAAAAGCAGATTTAGCCAACTCGGTGGAGATTGAAGGGATCTCCAGGGTTAGCCATCCCTGAGTCTGGGTCTGGTAACTTATATGTCTGAAGGTTAGCAATGAGGTAAGGAATGGTGGAAGTTTATGCAAGAGGGCTTTATAGACAAAAAGAGTGCAATGCATCGAACTACGAGACTTCAAAGAAGGCCAGCCTACTTTCTGATACAAAACGCAATGATGTGTAACAACCTATTGCCCTATTTCCCGTAATAAAGCGCTATGATAAACTGCATCCAATCATTTCAATTCAGTGGCATCTGCATTCATATAGACAATATCGCCATAGTCAATAACCGTAATGAATGTTGACTGAATTATTTGTTTTCTGCTATTTAACGAAAGACAGGACCTGTTCCTATAGAAGAAACCTATTTTAATTCTTAATTTTTTTAATAACTAATCTTATTGAAATATGTTTTTCATCAATCCAGATGCCCAGATAGTTATAAGCGGCAACACGATCAATGAGGGCACTATCCAAAGTACGTATGCATAAATCCTCAGATATATTTTTACGTGATTTGGGAAATAACATATACTTGGTTTTACCTGCATTAAGTACCAATTTCAGTTCAACAAAGGCTTTCTGCAGGGCAATAAACGCAGATTGAAGCTCTGACAGAGCCTGGTCAGCTGTGGGGGCAATAGCATACACCACAGTGTCACCTGCATACAGGTGACAGTTTATTTAATTTATTACAGATAAACCAATATTGTTAATGTAAATAGTGAAAAGAACCAGACCAAGAATCGATCCCTGTGGGACACCCTTTGTTATGTCCAGAAAACCTGATTTAACACCATCAGTAAATACACACTGTGTTCTGTCCTTTAATAGCTTAAACAGACAGATTTTGATGGGGATTTTTTTTATTAAGCTAATTAGATTTCCGCGGGGCACGGACATTGACTCTAGGGGGTAATGATCTTTACTGGTCTTGAATAGTCTTGACTGGTCTTGACTGGTCTTTACACTCAATCCTTAGAGGTCTTGAATAGTTGTTACTGGTCTTGAATAGTATTTACTGGCCTCTAATGATCTCTACTGGTCTTTACTCTCCCCAGTCTCACCTGGCTGAGGTCAGCAGAAAAGGGGGCAGGGTCCCAGGCCACCAGAACACCTGTGCTGTACAGAGAGCTGGACAGGAAGCGGTGGTCGTCGGACGCCATCACCTGCAGGACAGGTAAAAACACAGCTTTGTATCACCTATTACAGGTAAGAACAAAGCTTTATATACATTTACATTTGAGTCATTTAGCAGACACTCTTATCCAGAGCGACTTACCTTGCATTCAGAAAGTATTCAGACCCCTTGACTTTTTCCACATTTTGTTACGTTACAGCCTTTTTCTAATATGGATTAAATAAAAAAAATTCCTCAATCTACTCACAATACCCCATAAAGACAAAGCAAAAACAGTTTTTTTGAAACATTTGCAAATGTATAAAAAAATAGAAATACTTTATTTACATAAGTATTCAGGCCCTTTGCTATGAGACTTGAAATTGAGCGCTGGTGCATCCTGTTTCCATTGATCATCCTTGAGATATTTCTACAACTTGATTGGAGCCCACCTGTGGTAAATTCAATTGATTGGACATGATTTGGAAAGGCACACACCTGTCTATATAAGGTCCCACAGTTGAAAGCGCATGTCAGAGCAAAAACCAAGCCATGAGGTAGAAGGAATTGTCTGCAGAGCTCCGAGACAGGATTGTGTCGAGGCACAGATCCGGGGAAGGGTACCAAACATTTATGCAGTAGTGAAGGTCCCCAAGAACACAGTGGCCTCCATCATTCTTAAATGGAAGAAGTTTGGAACCACCAAGACTCTTCATAGAGCTGGCTGCCAGGCCAAACTGAGCAATCGGGGGAGAAGGGCCTTGGTCAGGAAGGCCAAGAACCCAATGGTCACTCTGACAGAGCTCCAGAGTTCCTCTGTGGAGATGGGAGAACCTTCCAGAAGGACAACCATCTCTGCAGCACTCCACAAAATCAGGCCTTGATGATAGAGTGGCCAGATGGAAGCCACTCTTCAGTAAAAGGCACATGACAGCCCACTTGGAGTTTGCCAAAAGGAACCTAAAGGACTCTCAGACCATGAGAAAGAAGATTCTCTGGTCTGATGAAACCAAGATTGAACTATTTGGCCTGAATGCCAAGCGTCACGTCTGGAGGAAACCTGGCACCATCCCTACGGTGGAGCATGGTGGTGGCAGCATCATGCTGTGGGGATGTTTTTCAGTGGCAGGGACTGAGAGACCTTGATGACAACCTGCTCCAGAGCGCTCAGGACCTCAGACTGGGGCGAAGGTCTCCAACAGGACAACGACCCTAAGCACACAGCCAAGACAACGCAGGAGTAGCTTTGGGACAAGTCTCTGAATGTCCTTGACTGGCCCAGCCAGAGCCCGAACCCAATCGAACATCTCTGGAGAGACCTGAAAATAGCTATGCAGCGACGCTCCCCATCCAACCTGACAGCGCTTGAAAGGATCTGCAGAGAAGAATGGGAGAAACTCCCCAAATACAGGTGTGCCAAGCTTGTAGTGTCATACCAAAGAAGACTTGAGGCTGTAATCGCTGCCAAAGGTGCTTCAACAAAGTACTGAGTAAAGGGTCTGAATACTTATGTAAATGTGATATCAGCTGTTTTATTGATAAATTAGCAAACATTTCTAAAACCTGTTTTTGCTTTGTCATTATGGGGTATTGTGTGTAGATTGATGAGGGGGAAAAAAACAATTTCATCCATTTTAGAATAAGGCTGTAACATAACAAAATGTGGAAAAGGTCAAGGGGTCAGAATACTTTCTGAATGCACTGTAGGTAACACAGATTTATTTAACTGCTAGCATGGTAACAGTACAGTAACATTACAGTAGCGCTAGCATTTGTTTTCATAGGTAAGAGAACTGTAAAAGTTGGTGAGATCTAAAATATCATGCAATCTGCTTACGCTACCAAGGTTAAGTTATTGCCCATTATTGTAAATGCTATTCAGCTAGCTAAGTTCGTTAGCTAGCAAACGTTAGCTAGATGGCTATGTAAACAGCTTACAGTATGGTCCCGCATATCATTTGCTAACGTTACAGTAGCATTCACTTTTAATGGAGGGAGCTGTCAGAATTAGTGTCACCTGCTTTTCTTTTGACTAGCTAGCTAGGTAGCTATATTATTATGCCAGCTAAGTTCGATAATGCTTTGATATCCAGGGGACGAACCTCTCCCTTGTTATAAACATGTCTAGCCATAGATAACGTTAGCTATATACCTATGTATTTGTTTATGAATAAAACAAATCAGTCAGTCCATGATATAGCCTAAATAGGCTCTATGCACGCATCACTTCCGCATTGGCGTAAGGAAGCTTGGGCATTTCCGGTTACCGGAAAAAAACATTAGCCAGTGACAGTAGACCGTTATGATGGCAGAGATGAAGTTTACAAGGTGTTTGCTGGAGTTGCCTAAAGTATCTGTTAATGATATACGGAGGGTCGTCCGGACATCCACTACGACACCACGTAGCAAACTGGATAAAGGCTTCAAATTTTACGTTTCTTCTTTTCTTTGCAACTTTGAAGGTAATATGCTAACGCTAGCTAGCCTGAGCTAGAAGCCTTGCTTTGGTGTTTTAAGTCATGACTCCGTCCTGCTTCAGGTTAATCATGCTTTAAATAAAGTTTAATTATGTGTATATACCTCTCACTTCATGTGTTTGTACTTTTATGAAAGTATCAGGTAAAAACAGGGCTACTAATGAGATCTCTGTGAGAGCCCACTGCTACCGCTCAATGAAGAAACTAAAGCCACCCCACCAGCTGAGAGTAGGACTAGATTAAGTGACACGTTCAAAGTTCTGTTGAACTTGTTCAAGGTTCCGTTCAACACATGTTTTACTCGTTTAATGTTACCACAGCTTTGATTGCCATTGCTAAGAGAACACTTTAGAACTTTAGTAGTTTTCACGATAGCTGAACAGTGGTAGCCTAATACAGACCAGGGTAGCTGAGTGGGAATTGCCATGCTTTGTTTTTGGGTGTGTTGTAAACAAATTGGAGTTTAGTTTGAAATGTAAACAATAATGAGATTACTACTTTTTCCTGACTTGATGACTGCAATGACAGTAACATATTCCACTCAGCTATTCTTCAAACTGCTGATGTTCTACTCAAAACTGTCCTGTCATCTTTACTTCTTTCTTTATAAACATATGGCCCAACTTCCTTGCTTTTGTACTTGATGTTTCTACTTTTCAAGAGGAATTAGGAGCAAAACCTTCACTCTACTGTTGTTATTGGTACTAGGCTACAATGTTGCACCACTCACTTACTGCTCTGCCAATACTGTTTGAAGGTAGGTAAATGGCACAAGACAATAGGTAAGTGGTGGGAGACAGTATAGCCAAGTGGTGCAAGACAGTAGGAAAGTGATGCAGAAAGCACAAAAGTGACACGAGACAGTAGATAAGTTGCTTACACCAGTAAAAAGTAGAAAGAACAAGTTTTGCTCCTACTCCTGCTGCTGTAGACCCTCGTCTTTCAAAACCCATTAAATTATGCTTCTGTGTATTTCAGATGACATTGCGTGATTCACAGCCAGTTGTGCTTGTTAAAAGCTACTGTTCCTGTGTGGCTGGGTGTAGGATATGCAATCATTTGGTTGCATTACTATATCAGACTGCCCATTACTCTGAATGTGGCATGTCTGTCGTCTCTCCTGTACTTTCGTACGTTTACACGTCATCGTGTTATAAGTCAAGACGAAGTATTACAAGTAAAAACATTAACATAAACATTAAGATAAACAACAACTACGAAAATTAACCGTTTCGGATGTTTTTGACGACAAGCATTCAATGCTAGCATACGGTAGCACGGCGTTCTACGATAACCGGAAGTTTACATCCGTCCTGAGATTTAACCGGAAATACGTCATGCTCGCCTGTGCATATCGCCTATTGACTAATTTGCCATGATACTTGATTAGCATTAATTAACGTAAACCCATTTAGCATCTCCAGGCCTCCACACATACAAGCCGCTGATGCGCGCCTTTGGAACATCTACATTTAAAAAACGTCTAATAAATCAATTTAATATACACCACCAGAATAAGTCCATTATTTATTTTGGATTTTATGTTGAATAATTACACAAACTCTTAATAGTTCCCATGCTTGATATTAGTGTGCATTCCTTTTGTTGTTGTATGTGCCCTTCTTAATGTTGCACACTTCCTTCTACTCCTGTATTCCCCCTCATAAACATCCCCTGCCCCCCTTACCTTTTCCCGTTCTACTGTATCCATGTGGAAGAGGTAGGTTAATGTAAAATTGGCCCATGAAAATCCTCATCAATCCAATGTTAAAACACAGATATTGAGTTTATATAGTCACTGACATAGTAATATTATGGTCTTTCTCCAGTATATTGTGATTTTATGCATTTCATGCATTTATGAACTTTTTATCTGTTGATTTGTGAATGCTGTACATGCTAGCTAGTTACTGTACTTTTCTCTGTACATGTCGTCATTGGGCTAGCATGGCTATTCATGTCCCCTGTTAATTTGTACTTTAGAGGAGTTGGTGCATAAGGGCAGCACAACATTTCATTTATGGATGTTTGTTTCTTTATCAGGTATGTCACATGTTTTTGTTTGTCTAGTTATGTTGACAATATTTACTGTCCATGGTTAGCTAGGTTTGCAAGTGCATGTCACTAACTGTACATTATGCCTGGCTGTCATTTATAAAAGTTTGCTAGCCCAGGCCCATAGGCTCTACTGTACATTACATTATACATTTTATACTGTCTATTGCACTATATTGTATATCATTGTCAAACGAGATTATTGTTATTTGCGCCCTTTCTACTGTATCTACAGTGAGGGAAAAAAGTATTTGATCCCCTGCTGATTTTGTACGTTTGCCCACTGACAAATAAATGATCATGATGGTAGGTTTATTTGAACAGTGAGAGACAGAATAACAACAACAAAATCCAGAAAAACTGATTTGCATTTTTTAAATGAGGGAAATAAGTATTTGACCCCCTCTTAATCAGAAAGATTTCTGGCTCCCAGGTGTCTTTTATACAGGTAATAGGCTGAGATTAGGAGCACACTCTTAAAGGGAGTGCTCCTAATCTCAGCTTGTTACCTGTA